CTAATAATTGGCACACAACGGGGACCGATCGAGTAAAAAACCAAACAATACCTAATTGCCTTTATTTAAAATGCAGCCAAACTGGATCTTCTTCTATAAAACCGAAAAATTCAAAATTCTGCTGATTACTTCCATAGAATTTACGAATTGGTCTAAAAATACTTTTTGGCCTTCTCTAACTCTGAAAAAAATAGAGGAATACATGAAAACGTTTTTTTTCAGAAACAGATTCGTTATTTTTCAATTTACATGGAGAGCAGGACGCTGAGAGGAGGAAACGCTAAGCAAAAATCTAATTTTACTTTTAAGGGCATTTATAAGGGTATAAAAGGAAAAATGAGACTTCTAAAGGATGATTGAGTATTCCTGCACCAAATAGGAATTATGTTAGCAGCGTGGAGTCTGCGCTACATATAGAGAAACAGTATTATTCTAGTCGATATGAAAAATGAGACGTACATTCACTTAAAAAGGCTAGCACGGCTCATTAGAACCAAATGGACTTCGCTGAATGGATTTTATAGATTTTGGTCTATGTGGAAACTGGAGACAGGTAAAGTGCAAAATGAAAGTGGAGGTACTATTAGTTATTTCAATATGATTTTAAGTGGGGACAGCGCTGAGATTGGGCTATACTAGATCCACATTTTCCAGGAGTTTACAACCTTGTTACTTGCTATGAAACATTTTTTTATAGATTCATCAGAACCGGTGAGAAGAGAGATATTAGAAAAAAGATTCCTGTACAAACGCATTGGAAACAAATTTTGAAACATAGTGTACAAATTAATAATTGAGTTTCTTCTAGTCTGTAGGCGTACTATTCTATATAAGAAATCATTTTCTCTTTTACTTATAATTGTTAAAACTTACATCAGGAAGCTTCGTCTTAAATTTTTGTTATAAAATTTGCAAGCACTACCTATAAAGCAAATGAAAATTCCTTCCTAATATGAAGCGATGTCATGCAATTAATCTCTTATTTTCCTTTACTGAACTAGAAAAATGATTTTCTATTAGGTTTAAAACGTCCATATGAAGTTCATCTTCTATCTCCTTCTTCAATCTTCGTTTGAATTTTTAAACTCGTACTAAAAACAAAAGATGGAAAGTTTGAAAAAACGAGGTTTACATCCATCCATGCTGACTCACAAAACTGTTCCCTCGAAAAATATTTACAAAAAAACCCATAATTTCACGTTAGTGCAGCACTGAGTTGATTCGCGGCTCGACTGAAATTCCACGTCGAAAAAACTTAACTTTTCCCAAGGCAGTAATCTGTACTTTTGCCTCTATATAA